TTTCAACATATGAAGGTGATAGTCATAAATTCGTTAAGTAGTCTACTTTTAAAGTATCTGAAAACTTGTGGAACAGTCATTAGATAAGATCTGTCATATTTTCAGCATAAAGGGCGTGCAAACGACACAAAGATGGAATTTGTTTATGGAAATGATATACAGTGACAACCTTTCTTACAAACATTTACCTCACTGCAAAGGCAAAGCGCTCATGTTACGCGACCAAAGTTTTTTTTCCGGTAGCCATTTTCTTTTTGCATGGTTAGTTACAATCGGAGCTTGGGTATATAATAACAAAAATCAAAGAAATACCTAATTTCCGTTTCGTTCCTTATCACTATACGGAAAAAAGGTAGAAATACGATCTTCCCGGAACTCATCAGTAGTGAAGGAAGATCGTAAGAATGACAAAAGAAAAGAAAAGAAAAGAGAAAGAAGAAGAGAAAGGAAAGAACTAGTAAAGATTAATCAAAGTAGTATTATGTGATTTAGTAATCCACAAACATCTATTTAGTTATCGTAAATATGAGTTGGCTTGTTTATTGTAGGCAAGTAACAGAGAAAAGGGAAAAGGAAGTGATAAAATGAGAAAAAGACTAGATTAGACAAAAAATATGTTGTAAGTCAGTTTTGAACCAAGTTCAAAAATTGGCACGCTATGAGAGTCGTTGTTGTTATGATTAGGGCATGTTGGTTAGAGCGCACCTATACGACAGAGTTATGCAGTGATAAATAGCAAAATTAATAGAGATGTCAAGAGGCGCAATATTTATTGCCGGATGGGTACGAAACAGCACATATCAAGTGTTTTACACATTCTGAAGTTTGAAATTACGAATATATTAGATAGTTGCATGAGTAATTCAGTTTTATAATTTTGAATTCGGTCTAATCCGAAAGTTTGAATATCAAATACCAGAAATGCGACTAACAGCAAATTCGAAATATTTCGGTCAACTTTCCAGCGAAAGCGGTTGAACTTAGCAAAACAGTAGCTCAAAACAATTAGTAAGCCTCTGCAGTTTATCTGGCACTTTTTTAAGGCTCCCTGACACCAAACTGAAGTTTTGAATTGGTGACAGCCGGTGAAATTGGCTGTCACCAATTCAAAACTTCAGTTTGGTGCCAGGGAATGCTCCTCTTGATCGTTTATATTTCTCCTGCGTATATAATACTTTATCTAATAAAAATCTCGTAAATCGTAAGAGGAATCTCGTAAGAGGAAAATGTTTGATAGACAAAGAAGATGGATTTGATCAGCTTTTAAGTTTTGGCAATAAGCATCAAATGCCTATGGCCGCTCAACCTAGTATCATTCGCTTATTAGATAACAAAAAAAAATTGTTTTTTTGAAATGTTCATTTTCCATGCATTATTGGCTGGTCGCTGCTCAAGCATAAGTGTTTTGAAATCTGCTGAAAATCTTTATTGCAGTATTTTTTCCGATCCTTTTTTCGAATAGCATTGTGGCTAAGCTGAAAGAATATGTTTTCGTCACAGAACTCACTGTACAGTTCGAAGTTCTGCATTGGTCGTTTTCTGTGGCATTGCTGGAAAGTTCATGTTTGTTCAATTTTCTTTATTCTCTGAGAATCATCTCATTCTTCTTTCCTGTGTTTACACGTCTTCCAACGATTTTTAGAAGTACCGCGAAGACAGTGCGGAGGTTTAAACCCTCCAGTAAAGCAAAGGATTTAACAAAAATTACTCAGAAGTTATTTGAAGATTTAAAAAAACGTTGCATTTGGCATATTTTCGAAAAGCCACAAGTCTCCACGTGTTTGCAATAGGAAAAAAATCTCTTGAAAATGAAGTTTTCTACCTCCAATCGTAACAAAACCTGTGTTCCAAGCATTTAATTGCATGAATGCGTAGAGATACTATCTGGAGCTTTACAAGATCAATTCACGCAAACGATCAGAGGTGTTTACATTGCAATCGTCTTACGCTCCCCTTCATTTCAGTTTGTTCAATTTCCGTGACCGCATGTTCGCACTTTTTTCAAATGTATGTAACTGGCACTTTTAGTAAAAGTAGATTTCCCTTCTTTACGATACTGATGACCGCAGAACTTTGTTTATTTACTGGAGCAATGATGTCCCTTGTAAAAGTGTCTCGTATTAAAGATCATTATAGCAGCTATTAGGTTTACACAAAGGTTTACACAATTCCGTTACAAATGTTTAAAAAGCTTTACGAATCACATCATGAAGTTTTTAATAATTATTGTATTGTGCATCTTGTTTATTTCAGATGTTAATTAGATAGAAGTCAAGTTGAAATCCGAAAATTTGAAAATCATATCTCTTTTTAAAGGCAACCGCAGCAAGAATAATTTTTTAAGCACAAAGTCCAGTCAATAAAATCATCAAAACTAAAGTTAGATCGCACCAAACGTTCTAGCAATTCTGGCGACGGACATACTATAATAAAAAAGCAGTGTTCATGTATGTCTTCATGTAGTACGGTTTAGATGCGCCAAATAGAATTTTTATTCATGCACTTTTATAAAGTTCAGGAATCTCTTTCTTTTATGTATCAAATCTAAATTTTGTTGGGGTGGGGGGGGGGGGGGGGGGAGGGAGGGGGCTGCAAATTCAACTCTGGTATTAGGTTTATGCAAGATTCATGTATCAACCTAATACTATTTCTTCCACCTTTGTATTACCCACACCACCAAGTTAAAATCAAGCCCATCCCAATTTTTAACAGGCAGTTTGGACACATTGCACCCTTATAGTCACCCCGGGTACATAACACAATAAATGATGCGCGACTCAATTAGGCCAAATATTCTTAATTCGCTCTTTAGGAAATATCACTCAATAGATGGCCTTGGGCGATTTCATTGGAATTGAGGTCATACGCACCGAGGCAAGGTAAGGCGTCATAAATAACCCGACTATCAATTACAGAGCATTCATAGGTACTCGTGTACTCAAAGTCATGGTGTGACTTTCAATCTTCAGACTAGATTGTGATGGCAGTTATAAATTACAAACATTCAGGAACAGTTTGACATCTGATAAGCGTTCACGCGCTACCCTCACACAACAAGCCGAATGCCAGTGACCTTGTGGTATTTTGCGTTCGGGCATCTCTCGGCGGTTGATTGATACTGCTGATGAGGGCCGAACCTTACACCCTCCCCCCCCCCCCCCCATCTCCCTCCTCGTCTGCTTAGTTCCGCTCTGCTCTGAGCAAATGTCTCATCTCGGAACGCCATTCTTTGGTCGCGCTTTGCACTGGCTGAGTTCCATCGCTTTTTGTTTACGTCAAAGAGTAGGAACACGTAATAGTGTTGGGGAACTGCTCAAATTGTCCTTTTAGTAACCATATTCACCTTACTCTACCTACGATTTGTATTTTATACTATCAGAAACCTTCGTGCATAATGTTTTCCTTCACTAGTAACTTTTTATTTTGTCTTCCACCAAAATTTTTGAAAACTTGTGTATTTGTGGTTCCCACAATTGTTCTTTTCAAACACAGCTCAGAGAGAATCATGCATTTTCTAATAGTGATTGAAGAGAAAATTCATGTCTCCATAGTAGTTTCGTCCAAGGTGATTTGAAGAATCACTCAAACCGTAATTTTTTATTTTCATCAAAAAAATGTTAGAAGGATTGAAGAAAACACAATTTTATTTCTTCTCATCTATGTATTTTTTGATCTCAAAAAATCTAATCTTAATTATTCTCTTCTATGGATTTTTTTTCTCTTTTGGATCGAGAGAAGTTTGTTTGGAGTGGATATCGCTACTGACAGTTATAATTTCGACTATTTCAACTCGAATTTTCCACTTTCTCCAAAATTCAATCTCTCATATGCATAGTATAGAGCAATGTTCTATGTTACAAAAAAGTTATGACAAATATTGAAGCGTTGTTTTGAATATTCTATGAATTCTCTAGCCGGTGCAAATTATGCATCACAATAGTTCTAACTCGCACAACATGCAGGAAGAGGAAAGTCCCATTAGTTATACGGAATCCTTGATTGTAGATGACTGTGAATCCACTAGTGAAATACTTAAATATTTCTTCCTTTTTATAGCGCAGGTTATGAGCGATCATTCTAAAGTAACAATTTTTCTTCGGTGCTGTTGGAAGGTCGGCAAAAATTGTGACTTTCTGTGTTCCCCATTTTTCTACTTAAAAGAAGTGGAACCACTAGTTTGTTGTTGTCCTTCCAAGAACACAAGCGCCTAATAAATTCTTGCTTTACACTTACAACGGTGATCCTTATTGGAATGATTTTGGGTTTGGCGGTTGTTCTGAGAACAGTTATGAGCTCAAATTTAATGTGGAACATTTGAAGGTGTTCTATATCATGAGGCGACAAGGCCCAAAATTTTTTCATCTTGTGGTTGTGAAATGAAGAAGTTTGGTTTGGCATGTTATGATTAGAGACGAATGTGTGAATCAAATTGTACGGCTATTGAGCAGCCTTCATTTGAAAAAAAGGACTAGTGATGAGGAGGAGTAGTACAACAGCAAAAGTATACATTATTCATGGGCGGTCGTTAAGTCATTCCACTTCACTTCACTGTATCGAAGTGGGCAGTTGGCCCCACTCAGGCACAATTTATTCAGTTTTCGTTCTAGATGCTAGTTCCAATTTCTTGCAACAATGAGGTTAGCGTCCTTTCTTGATGTAATGGGTCTTTGTGGGTGTTCTCTGCTTTTGATGTGCAAGTGGCTGTATCTCCTTATACTATACTTTGTGAAATGATCAAGTTCTGAACGTACGCGTCGATGATATTTTGTTCTATGATTGGGGTCGTCCAAAATACAGATAAGACCCTTGGAGTAAAAGGTTCGAAAACAATTTGCCCTTTCAGCCGCTATTCCGAAAACTTGCCCTTTCCTCGTGCTATCTGCTCATGGTGCATGTTTCCTTTGATCCGCCCCCTAAATTACTCAGTCTTTTGTTGTCGTTGCCAAAAAACTTGGTTTTCTTCAAAACATTTCTTAATATTGTGTTGATACTTGTATTCTAGTCAATGACCACTCTAAACCAAATATGAGTGGAACAGTGCGTACATTACCGCGCAATAGAGCTACAACATTCGTTGTCGACGGAATTTCGCCAGGTAGGTTGCCGAAGTATAGGCCTTGTTACCTGATTGCCTGCACCGTGCTTTGAACACCAGCATCGGCGAGCGGTTGTCGCGAATCACTATGGGCGATCTCCTTCACTCACGAATTTTCCAGTTAACCTCCATGTTCTTTTCAGCATTACACACTATATTTCAGCCAAAAGTATCTTTGAAAGTTAATAAAAATGCGTATACATGCGGTGCGCGCTGATTATCACCTGTAAATAGGCTATATCGCGTCGGGACCTCACGTCTACAGCTGCCCCGCGCGTTGGTGTTCAAAGCGAGGCGCGGGCAATTGGATTTTACAAAGCCTATAATGTTCCACAATCTCACACTTTGTACTTTCACTTCAAAACTCTATTTCAAAACGAGTTTTTTATTACTATTTCAAAATGATTCGAGAAGGTGTTTGAGTTGTTGCGAATATATTTGCTGGGAACTGGGGCCCCAAAGTTGCTCTTTGTGAAACTAGAGCAAGGATACTTTCGGAGTTCAGATCGGCCTGCTTGTTGCCAGAAGTAGAAATAATCAATCATGATCATACAGAATCAAAAAAGAGGCTTACAATCGAGTAGATCCTCTTGCTAATGTGTGCAGTTGCATGTTTTCCAGGGTACGGTTCGGCGATGGGGTCAGAGATTGTTTTCCTTGTTTTTTTTTCGTTTTTCTTCGTTATTTCCATACAGCTGTGTATGAAGGAGCTTGGGAGATTACATTTCATCGTCTTCCTATCCTAAAGCGGGCACCCAGTTTGTAGCATATCAGGGAATGTGTATACACTTGCAGCATTATCAGGGAAACTTTTTGGAATGTACTAGGCTTTACCGACGTGGTAAAAATAAATTAACTTTTTTTGTCTCATTCCCTATGCTGCAGTTTACTGCTGCAGTTCAACCATTTCGCCAAGCCTCTGACATCGTCTCGAAGTCCATCTTAGTTGTTTTCTAAGAACTTTGGTCGGAGTGATAGGCAAGAACTGGACTCGCGAAAGTACAAAATAGTTTGTTATTTAGTGCAAAATTTATGTTCAACACTATATTCCATGTTACTGCGCATGGGAATCAGAAAACTAACGTAAAAAATTGCCATAGTACTGGTTGTAAGGTCACAAGCTACCTACTGCATTATCTGTTTTTCGAATCAAGAAAAAAAATTCCACTCATAACACCACTGTTATAGCTATATTCGATCTTCACCATACAATTGTGTTCGACAAGCGTACAGCTCCCGCGGATGGTATTCGAGCTATCCGAACAGAAGGACAGGATGCTATCGGGTAGGTCCTGTTTTCCCACGTGCGACTTCTTCTGTGCTACGTTGTGTTCTCGTCGCGTGTGCGATAAATCACGTTGACGTCAGTGGTGGACGTTCCTTGCGTCGAAAGTGCATTGAGGGTACAACTAACGGCTGATGCGAACTCTGGACTGAAGCCAGGGACTTGGAGTGGGTGTATAGGCTGCTGCATGACGAATGCGCAATAATTTTGGGGGTGAACGCGGCTTTATTTGCCGCAGGATGTATGTGCAACGGTGAAAATACGCGCGCGCAGCGTTCGCGCCCGCTCAACTAATGCTGCTTCTGCGCCTTCATCATGCAATAGCTCAACTTTGGTAAAGGATTCGGGACTCAGCTTCACAATGTGTCTGGACGGAGATTATAACATGTTAGACGAGTGATTTGTAAAAATGTGTGCATCTGCACCATGAGCACGACACTCTACGACTCAAATGCAATAATTTGTTAGTCAGATCCGTTTCGGCGAAATACCGTCCATAAGTATCTGCTCAAAGTATCTCTGAACATCTGAGCCAAGAAAGAAGGCAAACAGATTTGCTAGGAAGGAAAGTGGCCACAACTAAGCATCATCTCGTGCAATATCGTGCGTATTGTGCAATACGCACATTAATTTGCGTAACTCGTCTGCGTTCGGTGATTAAATGATTCTACTCGATATTTTTGTATTCTTTACACTGCAACAATCTGTTACTAGAAATTATTTCTTTGATGAATTGGTGAATTGAAAGACTTCTAGCTGATCTTCTTCTAAGTTTTGCCTAAGATTAGGATGGTCGATTATGCGGTTCCAAGCATCTTGCGTTAACCTCAGCTCGCATGTGGCAAGCTCAAAAACGTATTTGCCGGTTTTTCATGTCCGAAGGAATTCACAATGAAAGATCAATAAGGAATGCTAAAAGTTTTCCTCTAGTTATCGTTGGGATAGACTGAACTTCAAAACGTTTCTTTGAGTTTATGTTACATTATACTCTAACGAAACTTTTTATGAAGCAAGTCTGAGATAAGGTTTCTGATTACGTTATTCTTCTCAAAAAGTTCTTTTGTTATTCTCGAATTCATTTTCTTCCATTCTGTCTGCTTATTGACACTTACTTTGTGTTGCACTTTTGTCTAAAGTCGCAACGTCAATTCCTAGTACAAAATACGGTTAAGTAAAGTGTAAAGTTTTACCTCCCAAGGGTATCCTGTGTTTCATCACACTTTTAATCACCTTCAAAGGCATTCAAATGAATACAGTGTTAGCTTCAGACTGCCAATCAGTACCTTGAAAAGGGTTGATAGTTTTGTCTTCCCTTGTATTGTTCTATGTTGCTTTAAGCTTAGCTCTCGCAAGGACTCAAAGATATTGCAAAAAAATTTTTGTTCAACAGCAGTTGGCCGACACAAAACGTGCTCCATAAATGAAGAGATTCCGCGCGTTTAGCGAGCGTTTGGAGTTGGACTAGGGCCAAGGCATCGTGTAGTTCATCGATTCGCTGATATTGCTGTGCTGCTATTACAGGTAGCGGCGTGTGTAGTTTTATGCAATTTTCTAGGGGATTGATTTGGAGGATGATTGGCAAGATGACCCAAGCTATTTTAGTGCTCGCACAGCTTTGAATGGTGAGATATGTTTCAGATTCTTGTAAAAAATTGCCAAAAGGCGTAATTAGTTCGAGTGCATCATAGATTTTACTCTTTTTATCCGTTCCATTTGTAGTAGGGCTCTGTCTTAGCTAAAGCGCAATGACTAAGTCCTTGTTTGCTTCAGAACTACTGTTGTGACTATTTTCCGTAGTTAGCTCGTGCAGTTCCTACTTAGTTTTTCATATCGAGTGTGTGCCTCTTTAGTCCTTTGCTGATAGATTATGAAGCTCGAAGTGTGATTCGGTCACTAAATATCTTACTTTTCACAATTAGTTCTCAAGGGGAGCATGATTACGCGCGATTCATTTGCTAACATGTGGGCCTACACACTGCGCGCGGCAATCGACGACACCTCACTTGTAACTCTTCAGTGAAAGCTCTTCCAGCGGACAAACTGTGGAACTGTACTACTACATCATATCAATCCGATCAAAAAACAAGGAGGAAATAAAGAGAATTCCTTGAAAATGAACAGATCTTAACTGGAAGTCTGGGGTGGCGCTCATCTTGTGCAGCGCGCATGTTGAGCTACATACAAATGACTCGATAATGAGCGTCTTTATGTTTACATGCATTCTCTGAATGTTTCCATAACGGAAATGCAAATGAGAAAGCGCAAACGTTCGAGTTTGAAATGTCACGCTTAAAGCTGAACGGCTGTTTGTATGTCTGTATGTATGTCTGTCTGTCTGTATGTACGTATGTTCCGAAGAAATTTTTATTTCTGAACCGATCCGGACCAAACTTGGCACACATACACTTCGGGACCGGGCGTGTGTCATAGGCTACTTTTCGTCATCGATCGATATCGATTTTATCGATTTTTTGCAAAATTTGAGCTACGGGGGTGGGAGTTGGCACGGGGAGGGGGTAATCGAGCATGCTGTTTACGAATATAATAATGACAGGGCCGGGCGGAGCCGGGTTTGCCAGCTAGTAGTTGATATGTATCGATGTGTATGCTCCATACGGTACGAATGTTCGACTGCTTTTGATAACTGAGTTTTTACAGCATGCACAATCTATACGTTTATGCAAATGGGTTCATGTGCAGTTGCACTTGAGTCATTTTGTACATGTTAATATGTGCGAATCCACACAGCATCCATATTGCACTTGCAATCCTTGATGTTCTGGTCGATAGGATGAACGTTTCCGGGATAAGTGCCCAGCTTTTCTTTCATATTTCTTACTTTCACGTATAGAACAAAGTGCTCGTGGAGAATGTAAAGGCTGCTGCATGACGAAGGCGCATTGACCATATTAGTTGAGCGGGCGCGAACGCAACGCGCGCGTATCCTCACCGTTGTAGATCCCGCACCTCATGCGCCCTGCGGCTAATAAAGCCGTGTTCGCGCCCGAAGATGTTGCGCCTTCGTCATGCAGCAGCCTATATGAACGTAGGCAAAAGGCCACCGCATCTACGGGGATTTCCTGTTCAATATTTGATAACGTAGAGGAAAAAAACTTGAGCATTTAAATTGTTAAAAATCCAGGATTCACGGTTCTTTGGCAAACATGAAGTCGTACAAAACTCGAACTAAGCATATCAAAAAGCAGTTATAGACAGCAGTAGCTAGAAGTTGGCACATTAGAGTCAGTAAAAAAGAAATGAAATTCAAAGACAAATCAAGAGAGCACGGTTTTGAGAAGTTGAACAAGTCAAATGCGTCAAATTTGGAGGGCTATCTGTGAATAACAAGGGAATGGTCAGAAATCGAAGAAGCCAAATCAAGCGAACTACATAGCATTAGATGCAGCATAAAACGCTGACTGTAAATCCGTCTTCCCTATCTGCAGAACACTTTTGTGGATGAAATTATAAGCCGTTAGAGGTCATTATTTTGCTAAAAAGTTTTGCATGTAAAGGGCAAACTTGGCCGTACAAAGCCATTCAGTGTTGGACCAAAACATGTAACTAGATCAGTTCAAATGGCTCGTTCTTAGAGGTGAACTGAAAGAGGAATGATGTGCCTAATTTCGCAATTTTTGTGTACGATTTTTTCGCAGTAAAGCTGCTCATAACTTCGCCTACAAAGGCGCCCTGCAGATATGGAAGACAGATTTGGATTGACCACATCGACTTCTGACCATACCCTGTAAGTCGAAATCTGCTAAAGCTTTGCACAGTGGGGTAATATCATATTTATTTATCGCTAAGAAGAAAATTCATTCCTTGACCTTACGAAAGAGGCCTTTTCGAAACGGATCTCAGTTCTGTGAAAAGCATGTCGATTGCCCCCCTAGGCCGAGTTTCGGCAAAATCCGCAATCTAAAATCATCCCATTATACTGTAAACCTACGTTAACCCTTACATAATGGCAAAATTCGGCAAAAAAATGTCTGCGTTTGAAGTTTACATCATAATCCTTATATTGCCAAAAAAATGAATGCGCTACGTTCCAAAAGACGAAAGTCACATGAATAATTGCTTTACTTATGTGCTAACCCAAGAAATCGATGAATAAGTATTTTAATATAGCAGAAAATACAAGATGTGAGAACGAAGAAAGTTTGACGCACTTATTCTTATGCGGTCAAAACGCCAGACTTTCTACTTCTGGAAATTCAATAAAAATTTAGAATAGAACTACAGTGTGATGTGTACTTGAGCAAGCATTCGAAATCCGCTTCAAGGTGTTAACGGAAGAGCAAGGCCCTTATGCTATTGTTTTTGGTATCGAACATGCTTTCTGTGTACTAAGAGGCCGACTTGCAATTCTCAGCTTGATTTGCAAACTTTCTGCGTATGAACATATGCTTGAAGGGATTTTTTTAATTTGAACTGGCTACGGATTGTATCCTTTCCTAATCACCTACGGCTAGAGAACCGTGAACAGTTAAGGTCAAAGTGGTGTTGCGCCGAGTCCGTTCTTTAAAGCTTAGCCTTTGTCTTCTGGCAATTTAGCCCTTCAACCTCTCGAGTCTGTAAATCTGCGCGAAGCATATCATAAGAATATCGGAGCAGATGACTTGAGTTATTGCGTATCCAACACAAATTCAACACCTTTTATTGAAAGGAATTATGTTGTCGCATAAGCTTTGTTACACTTCACGGAAAATCTTCATAACTTCCTCGAACTTTCTTCATTTCCAGATCATGAGGGCGGTTGTGGGTTTTCGATCCAAACTATGACAATTTTCTCAGCTCGCGTTTTCAAAGATCTTAAACTTCCGAACAACCTTCCTTTTACTGCATATGTTCCCGGAAGTTTATATAAAACCTGAAATTCTGAAGTGTGAGATTTTTGAAACTAAAGAAAAACGGCGGTTGGGGTGATGTTAACAGGCTGCCTTTGAGTTACCTGTCACTAAGATCGTGAAGGCAAAAATGTTGCTAACAGATGGCCGTTTGTCCCTTTCCCGTATATGTTAAATACGACTTTGTTGATTTGGAGTTTTCCAGAGATATGAGGAAAGTGTGACAAAATTTGGTGGCAACTAAATAGAATGCTCGCGACAGTTTGCAAGAGCACTTTAGTTTCATCTTCACTAATTTTCCATTACCATTCACCATTACCACTATAAACTTTGCGGAAGAAAAGGGACGATTTTGGTAGCAGCGCTACTCATAAAGTGTATGAATTTTACACGAGTGAAACTTTTGTGAAATCTTCTTTATTTCTTGTGTGTCAGAAAGGGTCGAATCAATGTTGGCTTCACTCATGAGTTACCAAACGCTTTGAGATTGTGATTGTAGTGGATCGTTCTATGAATTTTTATACAAACTCATGCTCATTTTTACCGTACATAATTTCAGTGAAATATCCGTGACGAAGGTCTCAGGTAGCGATGCAACACCGGAGGATGAAGACGATGAACACTTATACCATATGTACAAAACGGTATCGAATGTCTTAGTAGGTAAGCATATCGTTTTGTTATGATAGTAGTGAGAACGAGTTTTGATTAGTAAAAAATGAGAGTCGTATCAAACCATCTTGCGATTTTTAACAAGCACTCTCATGACCTATATATGAGTCATAAAGAATGTCTAGAAGGTCGGGAAAAAGAAAATATATCTGGTTCATAGGGAGAGGTACTTTTCAGTATTATGTGAGGAGTTCTTACAAGGGAACGATACTTGGTGTCCGTGGACTTTTGAGATGAGATGTATACCATTACACACGTCTTGGAACGCTGATTCCAAATCTTACTTCCGCTTCTGCTAATCGCATCAAAGATGTTATCATGGATCGCGCGGAGAGTGGCTGCCCAGCGAAATATCGTCGGAGCATCAAAGCCACAGGTGCGCTGTGGTCTAGTGGTTAGTGCGATAGCCTCATGAGTTGATGCAGGTCTAGGTTCGAGTCCTTTTGTGTTTTTTTAGTTTTGTGTTGCCTCATTTAACCTTCTTTCGCATCCTCAAGCTAAGTGAAGCCCTTACTCTTTAAAAAAAAGGGGAAATTTGGAAAAAATGACTACTGTTTGCGCTAAAATGTATTTAATGGTCATTATTCGAGTAAACTTTCTCGAACAAGTTTAATTGAGGCAATGCAAAAGTAAAAACACAAAGGATTTGAACCTACACCTGCATCAACTTATGAGGCTATCGCACTAACCATTAGACCAGATCGTGGTCGCGGTAGAGGCCGTTCCAATGACCATATTTCCCATAAGCGGCCAAACTTGGATCGAAAATCCTCCATAACTTCTTTCAGAGAAACGATTAGCAGAAACGGAAGTCAGATTCGGAATCAGCGTTCGAAAACGAATGTAATGGTATACATCTCGTCTCAAAAAGCCACGGACATTGAGTATCGTTTCCTTGTTAGATAGCTTCTCCTGTTTTCTCTAACAGTCATGCTTTCCGTGATTTCTATCTTGACTCTTGCTCATAAAAAATGTGTTTAGATAATTTGAATGCATGGGGTTCTTTTTTTATATCCATTCAGTTTGCGAGCTGTCAATCAAATCGCCCAAGCGGCAGCTGATTGGTAACAAATTTGTTTTGGAAATTTTTTTATAAAACCCAGGCCACGCCGTATTTTTTATCGTAGTCGAAAACGTGATTGGTCCGCTCGAAATGAAAAGAAGGTTGTCTGGGCTGTAGTTTAGAGTTGAAAATCTCCTCCACTTTTGTATCGTAGGAGCTAGCGCTTCGCAAATGACCATTAGGCGATCAAGAGTTTACTCGTAAAATTTCAATATAGTTCTGCTTACTTTTAGACATTTCATATGTCTCGGATCATATGTTCAGCCATACATTAGTCATTGCAACACTGCTCATCTGTTGTGGCAAATTATGCATTTCCAAAAGGCCTGCGGTTATTTGGCGCTTGATTTTTTTGAAGGTGTGTGAAAATTTATGAGCTACAAATCAAAACATCCAGGGCCATTTTTTGACGTATTTGTTTTTTGATAACAGATGGCGAGTCCTAGCAAAAATTATGGAGGGATATCGAGCTTCAAGTTTCTATTAATCACCACTCTCAAATAATATTAGGTTGTCCCGAAAGTTTTGTCGTTTTTTTTTCATCGCTCACTAAAACTCACAGAACACCAGTCTGTAAACGTTCTAGGTACCATTTGATTTAAATTTTCATCCTCTTTCTTACAGCCATATTTGCTCTCTGTCCTACCCTGTCTTTGCAATGTTATCGCCATGGCTTTTTGAGCAGCTTAATAGTAACGCCAAACCTTTCCTGAATTTTGAAAATTTTCATCCTGACACTTCTAAGGAGCGCTGGTGACTGTTATGCAGAGCAAAGCTTTGGCTACATTATACCCATATTAGATTACGTGGGTCACGTTTGTCAAGTCCGTTATAATTATTTATTTAATAAAAACCGCGGCTTTTTGATTACGTTTGCCACGTAAATGTACCGAAAATTCCAAAAAGCTGCTTTTTCAAAGCAAATCAAATTGGGTAATGTTGTATAAACAATGTTCAATAAGAATCATGTTGCAATTCGCAGAAACTTCAGAAGTATTCATGTTTTTGCTGCAGTTGCGTGTTCCATAACTTTGCCAAAAATCGACACCTCCGATAATTTTTTTGAAGCGAAAATCAGCAGATTAGTGGAGTTCAAAAATATCATCTTGTAGTCCGAGGATTGCTCTACTTAACCCTTATTCAACTCTTTTCGAAACTTTGAAATGAAATTTTCAAAAATTAGCCGAACTTTGAGCAGACAAAAATGATGGGTGAAGAATTTAAGCAATTATCAAAGAAAGCATACAGGATTGTGGTTCGAAAATGCAACCACAAGAAAGAGAAGAAAAAGATGCATCCAAAACATGCTGAAGCTCATTCAAATCTTCATTGTGCGTGGTCTTATAGTGACCTGAGAAAACCGACAAAACTTTCGGGACGACCTAATATTACGACATTAATTATCTCTTCCTCTCCGTTCAAAATCGCATTGAATTTTATGTGCTAATATCAAACAATGTGTTAAATGAGTTCCATGAAGATGGCTTCGAGTTATTCTTTCGTTTATAATTCTTACGTGGCATAACCTTACGAAAACATCTAATTTTTGGATAAAAGTGATGATCTGGTTAAGGATGTTTACTAATGGCTCAAAATATTTACTAATGATTTTAATGACAACATCTTTATAGATTTACAATACTAAGATGTTGCTTTGTGATGAGAACATTCACTAGCAGCTAGCATTGCAATTCTGTTGAGATACTTTTATAAAGCTTGATAAGAGTGATTTGATAGCTAGCATAGGCAAATTAATCCTGAGCATCAGTCTGAAGTAGACGCGATTGTAAGATTACCACTCGTTCGTTTTTGGTAACATTCAAAAACATGTTCAAAGAGATTAGATTAACTTCTCAAGTTTATAAAGTGCACAAAATATAGAATAAATGATCTCATAGGTTCTCCATGAAACCTGTGGTATGTGTGGTTTTCTTTGCTAAAATAAAAAAATAAAAGATAATATTGGGAGAATAATAGAATAAAAGATCTTTTTGACCCCAGGTTAGGAGAAGTTAACACCTTGCGACATCCTGTAGAAAAGGCATTGTCCAGACACCTTTTTCACAGTAGGACCTTTCAAAGGCAGTCATATGCTTGGCAGAACTTAGACAATATAATTCGTCTTCGGGAATCAAAACGCTTTGCTATACTTCTTTTTTCTTTCAAAATAGAAATTTTCTGAAATACTGGAGGATTCATTGTAGCATTTTCTTCTATGCGCAGTAGTCCTTATATCACTATATAAAATTTCCTGTCATTGATGACAGTTGATGTTGTTTTAGATGAACCTGATCTCGTGTACACCCACTTCCTCCAACTCTCACAATGCTATCAAGCGATGGCAACTAACAACAAAGTAGTTGTTTTCACTGATGATTTGTCAGTGCGAAAAGCATTTTATGCACTTGTTTCTAACTGTGAGTCCTTTCTTAAACGAATTAGCACACGTAAGAAAATTTCCCAGATTTTAGCAACTCGTACTGGTCTCATTGCCGATTCGAATACTATGAATCTCACCGGCGTACTCTCAATTACTGACTTCACAATGGTGCTAATGATGCTCTGGAAATATCGAGAAAATATTGAAGAAATGAGGGGAACACCCCTAACCCAACTTCAGTTCAACGAGATGGATATTGCAAACATGGAAATCAAACGATGGAAAGGTTTGCTAACTGGTAATTTGCAATCCCACTGAACATCGCAGGCATGTTTTAGAATTGCTCAGGAAACGTGGCAATCAAAGGGAATTTATTAGCGTCAATACGAGTGAAAGGTATGCAGCCTTATTCCTATGATCATTCTATAATAAAAAAACCGTTAAAAATGCTATTGCTTTTTTTTGTCGCAAAACTTTTTTTTAATTGCCTCAAATTTGAAGAAACAAATAAACTCTCAGAATATTGTTTTACTTTCCATCTTGCTTAGAGTATTTAGGGTGGGCAGTTCCCTCCCCCCCCCTGCCCGAGAATGGGTCGCGAAATTGTTGAAAGTTACTTACATGAGCTTTAAAATTGTGCAAATGACTTGTTCATACTTGTAAATAATTAAAATTTCTTTAAAAATTTTTTAAAAATTCATTTCAGCCTTACAAAAAAAAATTTTTCGGGGGCCTAGCTGAAGCCACGCCCCCTTTTTCTAAAATTTCGGGATTATGAGTCCGCGAAAATTTTAGAAAGCATACCAAGAAATTTTGGGAGTGCGTGGCTGACCCACGCATCTTCATTAGAAAAAATTTTTCGTTGCCCCTCCCCCAAGGCGAAATCCTGGGTACCATTGAGCGTGGGGAATACTTTTTGTTACGCCTTTACATTTAATTGGCATCATAGCCATAACATTTTTTGAAAATTCTAGAAATCATTCTCAAGTTTTCCGTATCAATTTTTAGACGTGCACGTTGAAAAAAAATCCGAAAATATTGATTTTCATGCATTTCAAGTTTTTGAGAAAATAGAGGCATCAAAATTGGGGAATCCTCTCTGCAAAAATTTGAGTAGAGATAATGCATAAGCAGAGGCCAGAGGAATTCAAGGGAAGATGTAAAATTTGAGTAATTGTACAAATCAATCGTAAACTTCTTGGCATTGTGTGCATTCGCGCCATTGATCGTATCATGGGAGACCCTTTAATTCCATTGCAAAGCAGCGTGGTTTTCAGAAAACTTCGGAATTTTTTTTAGAACAAAAAAGGAAAGGTGTAACGAAATCATCCGTTAATCCAATATATTTCCCCTTTTTTGAAAATCCAGTTCTTTCAACCAGAGCCAATCTTTTGGCTCCTGGTTTTGCCCGGCCATTCAGTATCGGATAAAATTTTCTTCAGCCTTTTCCACGCTGTCGAATTGCTTTCCAAGCATCGCATTCATCGTCTGCCAGTTCTTGACAAGCATTCTGGAGATTGTGCCTTTATCTTGACACATCGTAGAGTCCTACACTATATATGGAAATATGTGAGTGATATTTTGTTGACAGAAAATCAGAACAAACAGTTCAGGTTAATATGTTTAGTGTTCATGTCTTTCACGCCCCGACTACATGTCGGAAAGTGCCTTTGATCTCAAAGTCGGAACCTACACGGGGATTCATTATGTCAGTTACCTTCACATTCTGTAAGAAATGAATTCAATCTATATTTTGCAGGCCACTCAGGAGATGCCTTTATTAGAAGTTCTAGATATGATGATAGACAATTCTATCAGTGGTGTGCCTATCATTCAAGAGTCAACAATGAAAGTGAGTTTCACAATCACTTTTTCAATTGAGTGTCCCCTTGTTTTGCTTCGAAAATCAATTCTTGCGATAGAGATATTAAGTCAGAAAGTGAGGTTTAATGCATATGTCTTTCCTACTCATCAGCTTAAAGCTAGAAGTGGGTGTAAGAGATGGCGTAGCCATTACTAGCAATTCTTGTTATAAACGGCTTAAAAGAAAACGTTGAAAGAAAAATTGCTGGCCCCTTTCTACTTGAGCGGGTAGCAATATGAAATCGAGTGCGCGGGAAGTGGCCTTCTATCAAAACACTGTTTTCATATTCTTCATGAGCTCCACGAATTGCATTGATCAAATCAGAATATTACTGTTTATAGCTTTGTCTTATCGAGACAACAATGTAGTCCGAGTTCGATATTTCACTCAAAAACCTAAGCACATATCGCGTCTCCTAACTCTAATGTCGAGCCACTGAATCTCTAAGAACGCAGAAGCCCAAGTTTCTAGCTATGAATGAAGTAGGTCAAAACCTTGAAGTCAATGCAAATGACAGAGGCAGCATTCGGTACCGGATTTTTACAATGATTGTGATCATCATAAAACCTACCCAGTTTAATGAACTGTGGTAGTCCTTGCAATGTCTCAAAGCATGTTTGGCATAATGTGGATCTGTGGGTATTATTCTGTAGAGCTGGCTTCAACTCGGTTTGGCCAACAAAACTCGTATATCGCTTTTTACTGTAGGAAATGAAAGGAAATGAAACTCTTACTGTAAAAAACCGGCGGGCAACTCCAGGTCTTTATGCAGGGTCTTGTCACTTGCACAGTGACACTTCTACAAACTTGTGCAACGTTATTTGTATATATCAGTGTGCTTGGTAATTTGCACAAGTTTCGAGGTTCTTCAGAACTAATTCAATGTGACGGTAAAGTATTGAAGTCAATATGCGGAAACCGCTACCTCTACAGTCATCTCTTATGTCAAGATTGGTAGATGATTCGCTTAACACTGTAGTTCTGATTTGAAGCCATCTCTACGAAATGATGCAATACTTTGAAGTGTTGAATTGATGAAGTGAAGTGAGTTATCAGCCAGCAAACAGTTTATACATCACACTGATCATTCTCCCGCGATTGTTATTAGGTTGGTGCAAAAGTAATGCGCGTTTTTCTAGCCCTTGTTTCAAGATAGCTTTTCTCCATCAAAATTTCTCTTATGAAACTTACCCAGCATACTATCAAGAAGCTTCTTTTATGCTCTATTCAGTGGTGGTTGAAATAAGCTTCTAGCTTCATTCGTTAGAAATTTCTAGAGCTTCATACAACCGCAATCAAAATCAGAATTTCATTGCACTTACTTTTTTGGCCAGAATTTCAGCGCGAGTAAACGCATTCTTTTGAAAACTTAACTGCTGTATGTAGTAGAAATTTTCTTCGTTATGCACACTTTGCTATTTTCTCAAAAATTATTTAGACTGAAATTTCGGCGCCTCAACATGAGTGATGGTTTTGACCATTCTGTGGCCCATAGATTTCCTTTGAAAAAGGCAATCGCCAAAGTTTCGCTCATTTGTGTAAGCGTGAGAGTGGGCCTCCTACTGACAGTTTTTGCAGAAATGTGGAAGCTGTTCAGTACACAGAAAATCAAAAATCTCCACATTTTGGGATTTTGAGGGCTACGAAAAAATGTCGAAAAAAGCGGACAATTTTCAATATTATTTTTTCATTTTCGCGAATCTTCTTTGTTTGAGCTCCTTTCAACTTTTTTTCGTACTACTGGCTTGCGGCTACAAGACAGTCAACTTTTCATTTATACCGACAAATCTTGAAGGAAGTTATGATCAGTTAAAAACGAGCTTTCCGAGAAAAATTTTTTTGCTTATCAATCCATATTTTTCCACCGTTTTGTGATGTTAGCACAAATTAGTGTGCACTGTGTAGAGAGAAGTTTGGTGCCTCTGATGGACTTGACCGCGCTGAAAAATACGGATTTTTTAGAAAGTTATAGCACGTCAAAGTGGAAACTCGCAAAACGCGCATTACTTTTGCACCAACCTAATATAATAACATCTATAGTCGTCCATAATTATTCGTTGTGTATTTGCACTACTTTCGAACTGTGCACTGGCAAAGCGATGGATTGATTGTGTGCTTTCTTTTTCAAAGAGTGAAACTGCCTGTCACTTTTCCGCTATTTCGTACTGTATTCTCAGTCATGACGTGATTCTAACAACGACACTTCAGTCTACAGAAGTCACGCACGAATTGTTTTCCGATATTGTCACATATTCTACTGCGGACACATCACTACTTTTTTCAATCGAATAGAATGCTGAAAATTTCAGCGAGTTATCTCTTGTTAACCCCACTTTAGCAGTTTACCTTTCGAGTCAACTTTTGCTAACCTCAGGCTTTATCAGTTTTTCTGAGAACAAAAAACTTCGGAAAGTGATTCTTCAAAAACTGAGCCTTTGATAGCAGTCTAGTGTTTCCCTGATTTGGACATTCTGCAGCTACGAAAGCTTTCGACATAAAAGTAGTCTTTATGTTGAGATTGTTGACGTCTACACTCGTTTTGATGCCGTGTCAGCAGCCCTTTCGAGAGCGATCGACATGTCAATCAGTGTCGCGGAAGCAATTCGGCAACGTCAAACAATTTACGTAGGTTTTCCCTCCATCATTATCTCTGCGAAGTCCAGCTAGCAAGAAAATCTTACTTGTAGCAACAAGCAACCTTCACTATTGAGATATATGCGCGGAAAGTAGATGTTTAGGGTACCCGTGATGGTGTCGTGACAGCTCCAGAACGTGCCACAATGTGGGACTTAGTGGAAATGTTTGTTGAGAAGAATGTTCATCGAATATTTCTTGTTGATGAATTCCAACGAATGAAGGTAAACTCTTTGGTTTTGATTGGAAATGTCACAGGCTACGCAAAGCACTTGATATTTGTAAAAACGTGAAAATATCAAAGCAGCTCAAGTGCAAAGATTTCTTCTACTTTTCATGTTGAGTTAGACCACAACTGCCGCACTTTTACTAGAAAATTGTAACTTCTCTTTGTTTTGAAGTCTTTGCCTTGAATTAATTTTACTAAAAGGAGTAAACCATACTTTCTAATAACACCTCGATAACTTTCTGCTATACTCCATTTTAATAATAATAATAAGGATATCATACGTATTTGGGTGACTTCAAGCAGGGCCATCGAAAATCTGTAAACTATGCAAACATTTCAAAACAGCTAATGACTTAGGTTGTGCGACATCTTTTTCAAAGCAAAGTTTGTGCTAATCGAGCCACTCTGTGGAAAGTTAAGACTTTTGCAAAACAGTAAAAGAGCGGAATTGTTTTGGCATTCTTCTCGAAAATTGTTTTCCACGGACAAGCTCTTAGCTCAAGCCTTGCTCATTTGAAATGAGGATGTCATAATATCTAAGTTATGGTTTGGATTTTTTGCAGTGATGTGATTTACGTTTTTTGTGGTGCAACAGAACTACGGGCTCAGCCCAAATGATGAAATAGTTGTTTTTGTATGTAAACCATATGAAATATGATATCAAAGAAAAGAAATATCAAAATCGTGTGGTATTTTCAGGGTCTGGTCTCATTGTCTGATCTGATCATGTATATGATACTCCGACCATCAATTGCCTGGCAGCATAGGAAGTTATCAGCAGTTCTCGAAAAATAAATGTTTGTCCTCAAACGTTGTTTTTTTTTGTTCTGCTTTTTGCCGATACAAGCGGCAAACGTCAAGTCAGGTGTATCAGCCGTGAAACGACTCTTAGAAATCGCGAGGATACCCATTGTTCTCAGCACACGCGGAATTTATTAGTGAATGCCCTCGTTTGAGGCCAGAAAGGAGCAAGTTGTAGTCGCTTGCTCGTAGACATTGGGTTTCCATTTTTTCTAGTGTATATATCATTTCATTACACAGAGTGTCTGGACAGTACCTGGCCTAAAGTACTTCCATTTCAAATCTTGACTCTCTTGTTGTTTTTATTATGCTCATTCGACCTAGAAACTGCCATTTCAGAAATTTGTTATTGGGTTAAAACACAATCAACATAGCTCTCCACTCCTCTTTCCTTTAAAAGCTTGTTACAAAAAAGAAAGCATATTTTGTGAAAAACTTTGTACACCTTCCTTCTAGAAGCTCTTCCCTTCTAGTGTCGTACATTTGATCCAATTTCGTAGAAATAAGTTCGTTCTGAATTACCGTACCTTGGAACAAGAGATCCTTCAAGATTTTCTTGTCAAAATTTCAGCTTCAAAATTTTCAAACTTCTTCAAAAACTTCACAAGCGTGCAAAATACTTGAAAGCGAACAGAATGAGAGTTAGAGAGGTGTGCTACCAATGCACATTAAAATAATGCTTTCAAAAATTTTCGAACTAAAAGAAATCTTAACGCAAACTTGCACGATTGTCTGCTGTGATTTAGCGACATGAAGAAATCTTTGTTTGGCTGTTGAAGAACTTCTGTCGTATAAAAAACGGAGAGTTGTTTCTGTTTTCCGGCTTCAAAAAAGTAGAATGAATCAAATAACACACTTTTTCTCCTTTTAGGGAAGTTGAAAACATTGTTTACTTTTAAACTTTTTACAGTATCTTTGAGCATAAAATTTTTTTTCGTTGTTGATACAGTGGTTGGATTTAGCGAACACTTATAGTAAAAATCTAGTTAGAATTCGCGACTGTGCTTGAGGCAAGAAACTTTCCAAACATCCTGTACACAATTTCTATTACTAGTGTTCAAAAAATTATCTTCAAAATACATGCGAGAAAACATCAATTTTAGTTCCTTTCTTTCGTGGAGCTTTAAACTACCTTTCGTTGCCTTCACTCGACGGCTCCATCCATCTCTGTCGCCTACGCTCTGTTTCGAAAACAGCATTTGCACAAATGTCAACACTTCAACGCTCTAAATTTCTCTGCAGAACTACTGACGAGCAGAATTACAAAAAAATATCAAGTAAGAATTTCCAAACTCATTCGTAGTGGAAATGCAGTTCTTCAACTGAGGCTGCCAATGTTGAACTTCTAAAGTAATCGTTCTCTTGAATCTGTGGTTTGTCCAACTTTATCACATGACAAGCCGTCATAGACTTCTTTTTTTTCGTTCTTTATGAAGTTTACAATATTGTGTGGGGCAACTTAGGTTTTGCCTTCTATGTTCATTTCAAAGTCATAAATAGATAGTTTCCGAAAAATAGATATTTCATCTCTTTCACCGAGACAGTGAAGAAAGAAGACTGTCCACTTTCGAAGCTCATCGATAGAGGAGATGCGGTAACAGTAGTGTTGGTCTCGACATTGGTACGTATTTATGACAGGGATAATTGGAGGGGGGGGGGTGAATATGTTGACTATGGAAAAACTCTGAATTTGGCCTCTTGTGCTCATAATGTATCTTGCAAGCTGATATGTTGAGCATTTCATTGCATGTCTAACAAATTCTTCTTCTTTTCACGCGAAGTTCCAAAAACTATCATGCATCCATTTAACCTGTATTCAGAATCAGCTGCAAGATCTTTGTGTAATGTGATATCTCTGTAATTAGTGGTTCATAAGTTTTGGACGAAGGAAAACTAAAAATTTGTTTAAGATATTTGAAAAAGTCGAGAATAAGTCGTAAGTATTGAATATCCAACCTCCATGAAATTCTCGTGCTTGGAATGAGTAGGAAGTCGAATAAGTCGTAAAACATGAGCAAAAAGCAGGCAAGAGTTTTTCTTGAAGCTTCTAGCACATTTAGAGACTTCTAGAGAAATTCGAAATCAAAAAATAACGATTTAAGTGTTTCTCTCCAATAAGGATTTTTGTTTCAAGCACTGTAACAAAGCAATCATTTTCCTTCTCTAAACTACGTTGAAGTGAAGAAACTTTGGAACAATTTTTGAAAGCTTTCAGCGCAGAGTCATGGACGAGCCTAATATAATAATTTTTTTAGTCTCATTTCAAGCACTAGCTTATCTACGAGATGCCATGACAGAGCTCGGCACGAGCCGGCACCAGGAAAATTTTGAAACAAAGTCCCCTTTGACCTTGGTTTCGTACAGAGTCCCCTTGACCGCACACTCTAAACGTAAAAAGCCCTAAAAAACGAAGAGTCGACTAAGAAAACGTCGCAATTTTTGTGTCTTTTCGGACACAAAAACGATATTCCCTTTGCTTTTTGTCCCAAAAACGGTATCCAGCTTGACCCGGTGCCAGCTGTGCCGAGCCCTGTATCATGACAGAAATCCGAAAAAGTGGACATGTTTATGTCGCGTTTTCGAGGAAGGTCAGCGCTAGCAAAATTCTAGTTTTGTGATTGTTTTGAGCATTCTCGTCAATCAAAATAATCAGCGTTCATGCGGCAATTTGAAACGGCGGCTCAGAGTGTGGGAGTGAGTGAGTGAGTGAAGAGGGATAGTGAGAGAGGTGTTCATAATGAGGTAAGCGAGAGCAGAAGCGGCGAGGGGGTTCGCTACGCTCGGCTACCCTCTCATTCAGCCATTAGTGTGTGCTTCGCCCTTTTGCAAAGCCTCTCCAGTCTCGACTTTGGCGTCACTCCGATGCAAATCTTATCGCGCATTCTTAACCATAGAAGAGCAACGCATGAAGAAAATTTGATGTCAGGATTCGCTCATGCCTTTCTTGAAGCTACTGCGATTCGTTGTTCTAGCCTGACTTTAGTTATTTCTGAACCACTGATGGAATATTCATGTATACCTACTTCGTTTGCTGTCGTACAGCAACTTCTTTTCCTTGTCTCTTCCTTGAATCGACAATAACACAAGGGGGGGGGGACAAAGTTTCCTATTGGTATTTCTTTTCCCCCTTCCCTAGAACGGAGTTTCAGTTTCTAAGCCCTATAAAGGACTTGCCGGTGTAGAGAGTGGGTCTAAATTATCTATCAGGTCGTTCCGAATGTCGCTTTTATCTAATCGATTGCCACATCTCAGAATTGTGGAACAAAGATTTTTGAGATCTTGGTAGCAATGAATGCAGCAGTTCATCGTCTTTCTAATGGTCATAGATTCATTGCAGCAATTTCAATGAGCTTTCGGAAAATTACCAAAATCTATAACCATGCTCTTTGAGATGGTCAATTTTCCCAATTTTTCTAAACTATAATGTCAATCCTCCAAAAGAGCTTAAGTGGCATGTGGATGGAGCGAACCCTAATACAACTTCAGCTCGCCATAATTATTTGATAAATTTTTTCTGGATTTTGAAACGATTTCAGAAAAGCCATTAAACTCTTTCAAATATTCTAATGTTCTTCTTCTGGCGGAGGTTTCTCCGTGTTGTGAAGAAGCAATGAACTTGTCTTGACCGTGTGTGTTTCTATAGTGTTATTATATTGAACATGATTTGAACATGATTTATTTATTGTTTTTATTTTTTGGTTGTTCGCAGTTCATGTAATGCCTACCTTGCAATATAAGTGTGTCCCAAAAATTGTGCCCATTGTTCGATTGTCAGTAACTCTCGTGTTGTGAAGTCTTTCGAGAAGCTCGAGGTGCCATTTTGTAGAGTTGGCTCAACTTAGATTTGCAGTATAGAGCGAATACTGCTCTCACTCTCATTACTGCAAGACTACAGTAGGAAATTTCGGCATTGTGGCGTCACGTGAAAAAGCAGCCGTTTGGAATAACTTCGAAAAATCTGGAAACTTGCTTAATAGGTTTTTCATGGACGCCAAGTTCCTTAACACATTGACGACCGCTTGACACACATGGTATCGTTGAAATGGCTACTATTTTGTGTTAAACCCACTCCAGTCTTCTTTTGTGCTGGAACTAGACACAGCCTTTATTGTATTGCCAGAATTTCAGAGTTACTGTAGGTGTACTGTAGATGAAATTGCACGTTGTTTTATCTAAAAAATGTTGACCGGTCCGTGAAACGCCTTGGTCGTCAATGTGTTAATGTACAAAAGTGAAGCTTTCTAAGCGGTGTAACTACATTTTTGGCAACATCGAAAAACGGCTGCTACTGCTTAGCTGACATAACTTTTCAAGGGCATTATATTCAGATGCAAACTTCATATTCATCATCAGCAACTCTAATTATCATGGTGCAAGAGTTTTCACGGCGTTTTTTTTTTCTGAGCCTATGACCCTGCATAGCTCAAGTCTTCTACCGTAATTTTACAGTAATGATAATGAGTGCTGATCCGCTCTATATTGCAAATCTAAGTTCAAGCCACCTCTACAAAAGGTACCTAAAGGCTTCATGACTAGAGTGCTACTAACAATTAATCAGCAGGCGCATTTTTTCGAGACACCTTGTAGTTCTGACTTTGATTCCGAAATTCTCGTAACTTCTTGTCTAAATATCTTGTTTCTCTACTATGGACACAAACATGTCTCAAAATTGCGCAAACTTCCTGCTAACACATCTCGTCTTAAAAGAGCGTAATGTATTTCCCTTCTCTTCCGTAAGCCTCTATCTCCCTCCTTCCGTGAGAAGAAGACTTCCTTTTCTCTATTGACAAGCTTGAAATATGTGGATACAGCAACCTCGCATGCCTGCTCAGTGTGATTAATGTGTAGCGCTCGGGAAGGCGTACCTTTCAGAGTGTAGTCCAGAGAACGTGGACAAATCCTAGAGCTCCAGAATGCTCCGAATTCTGCCTATTCTCTGCCGCTGTCGTTCAGCCATCGCTTTCTTTAAAAAAGCCGTTACAGTTTGTGCAACATTCGTGAAGCTGAAA